ATTTCTTACAAACAGAAAATCATAACTTGGTCCACTTAAAATACCATCCTATCTATAATACATACTTATATGTATTTGGGAATCATTTGAGGTAAGCTACAGGTACAGAAATCAATGGTAACAAATTATAACTGAGGTTTTCGATACCGCAAAAAAAAAATCATATTTTCTTTAAATAAAACAATCATAGCAATGTGCTACGAAATTCTCTTCATAGCAAAACTGCTACGCGACTATAAGTTATCCAATTTTCATATTTCAAACCAATCCATTGTCCTATTCACGATATTGGAGCTCTTTCATTAAATTTTGGTCTACACATAAAACTTTTATGTCCATGTTCGGGCTTCACGCCTCTTGATAAAAGGAGGTTAGCAGCCATAAAACGCTTGTCTGTCTTCGGAAAATATATTACGTTGAACCATTCTCCTAAACTTGTTCCTAGATTTTATTAGGGCTTGTGTTATATGCGACGTACCTATCACGAAGCTTGGAGTCTGTGTCAGTATTATCTATATAAGTAAGATTAAAATATTCAATATGTATTGTAAATAATATAATCAGTATCAGTATAATATTATTATAGCTTTGAGGTGTCGGGTGTAAGGGTTAATTAGGATACACGTGTTTAATAGATGAAGTATAGATTACGACTAATACATTCTTATATCACTACACTACAGCTTGACCTGAAAACCGAACTGGAGTAGTCGTTTTTGCTACCTGGGATTATTACAGTTTATAATTAAGTAATACTCGCGACTATTTTGCGTTTAAGTTAAAGTTTCGTGAGTAATTCACGACTATTTCGCGTTTACACGACGTTTCACGAATTCGGAACTGCCCTGTAAAGACTGACACCTTAAGCCCATGATAGTCATCGGTGACAGACGTTATGGGAGGATTATAATAGTTTTCTAGCCAGTTAAGTCTAGCCAATTCTTTTGCGAGTCAAAAACTATTAAATAGAAATTACGTTACTTAACTAACTACAAATAAAATAAAAAATCTGAATAGCTTTAGAACCAACTTTTTCAAACACAGAAGCATAACTTAAAAAAATAAAACGTTTTTGTTTACTTCAAAAAAAAAAATACGTTGCCCCACACTAGGATTTTCTCCTGTGTCGTGGGTGCGTTTACAAACATACAAGTTCACATACACATGACACCCAGACCCGGAACAACAATCTGTGGATCACACAAAGAGTCGTTCGTGCGGGAATCGAACTCGCGACATGTTGGGCGGCAGTCAGTTGCCCAACCACCGCGCCAACCGTGCAGTCATGGTTCAGTTCAACTGGTTTGCATGTATGCATATTTTGGATTCAGTTCACTATAGACACCTGAAACACTTTCGATAAAGCTATTCTCCTCTATTTGTTTTCCATTCCAGTTGCTACTTTAGGACTTTATAGTTCCATTGTCTCGTTGAATCCTCAAAGCGTTTTTTTGAAAGAAATACTATTAAAAGTTTTTCGACACAAAATTTGCCTGCAAATACGTTTCAAATACTGGGTATGTTTTTTCGAAAAACCATTGCAAAGGAATGCATTGTTAATCTACCATTTTTTATGGCATAAGCCGGTAAACGAGCAGACGGTTCACCTGATGGTAAGCAATCGGCGTCGCCCATGGGCACCTGGAACACCAGAAGCGTTACAAGTGCGTTACCAGCCTTGTGGGGATTAGGAGTTTGAGGATTGTTGGGGATTCGGAGATTGAGGAGATTGGGGAAGGGGGAGGGTAGTTGGGCCTCCGGTAACCTCACTCATACGACGAAACACAACGCAAGCGTTGCTTCACGTCGGTTTTCTGTGAGGTTTATTTTTATATCGAAACTTATACATTGCGAAATGTATTTCGTTTTCGTCCTGCGGCAGAAGGACTTGCCCTAAGGAGTACTTTTGATGTATAATATAAAAATAAATTAAGATCATGATATATTTATTGAAATACGCACATAAAACACTAGACGTAAATTTGTAGGCACTATTCGCATCGCACGTGTCACCCGACGAGAAATACCTCATCGAGAATCACATGGCGTGATGTTTTGATAATGTACTATGAGTTCATATGCGTTTTCAATGTTTGCTTTTTGCAATGGTTCACCAGTTAAGTTTTGATTAAAACATTATATTGTTTGTAACACTATTGGATTACCAAGACCGAACCATTTTACTTTGGGACGAAAACGATTTGACGGTGTATTAATTATACAATGTACCCTAAAAACATTCTTCTCTATATACTATCATCTCATGATAATTAAAAAATACATAAGACTTCTCTGCTAGAGTAATGTAGGTACTCGTCTACTAACGAGGGCTTTGTAATAATTCCCACGCTTAATGAATGGAGTTTCTTTAGACATTACTCCATGTAAATGTGAATAAAATATTACAATCGTAATACTAAAGAACCTAACGGGTTAACGGGGCTCCGGCTCGACGTGCAGAAGAAGGAACGGGGTGGTTTTTAGTCAGTAAGAGCCTGACACTCCCTCCCGCCTCATCCAGAGTGGGAACAGTCATACGATGATTTTCCCCCTTTAAAAAATCGTACCTTAACATTTTCTTTCACCTTTTAGAATCAACTAGAATATTCTAGTAAGTTCTACATAGACAAATCAACATTTTACAGTCATACCATACGTGTACGAGTATCTTAAAACAAACCAACAGACGAACAAGTTCAATACACTACGTGAGACCCACTACGTGACGTATGTTCCCGTATCTATGCGAATCTACGTTCTCATTCAAAAATTGCTCGAATATGAATTTTAATGAACCACAATAACAATATGTCATTTTATTCTTTCGAAAACCGAATTACGTCTATTTGCAGTTGCATTTTTTGATTAATGGACATGAATAATATAATAGACTAGCGGACCCGACAGACGTTGTCCTGCATATCCACTTGAATTAAATACCAAAATTCATTCAAATTAGTTCAGCCGTTTAGGATAAATAACCTAGGATCGACTGCAGCGCCATCTGCCGGGCTGATTTGTAAATCTAAACCATCCAGGGCGCCAATCAAAGGCATACAGAAAATTCATTTAAATCGGTCAAGTCATTTAGGAGGTGTTTAATGACATACACACGAACAGCAGAATTATCTACATATATAAAGATAAAGATATTGCTTATTAGTGACTTTAGAAAGTTATTACGCATGATCGAAGGCCCAAAATTATATTAAGGAAGAATTAAGTCTGAGAGAGCCATGCTTCGTCACGAATGGGCCGTGGACGTGAAACAATGCTTGCGTTATGTTTCGTCGTGTGAGTGAGGTTACTCACACGAATAAGCCCAGTACCCTTACCGTGGGCCCCCACACTCCTCGAATTCCTAATTATCAAAAGCCCGGTAACGCACTTGTAACACCTTGGTGTTCCAGGTGTCCATGGCCGACGCCAATTACTTACCATCAAGTGATCCGTCTGCTCGTTTACCGTTTATCCCATAAAAAATTGCATCAATCTTAAGGACCCGCAACGGAAAAGGCAATCTCTTGTAATAAACTGACAATACCCTACTTACTTGATTTGAAATATAGGTACCTACTAAGAATCTAAATAACATTTATTTAATGACGTCATTCGTGGTGTGGGCTGACGACAGAATAATAGAATACATTATTTTGTCACTATCCTTATTTTTTTATGGGGTAAGCCGGTAAATTAGCAGACGGATCACCTGATGATAAGCAATCAACGTCGCCTAGGACACCAGAAACACCGGAGACGTTATACAAGTATATTACCGGCCTTTTGCGGGTCAGGAATTTGAGGATTGTTGGAGATTCAAGGATTGGGGAGATTGAGGAAGAGAGGGGCCTTCGGTGACCTCACTTACACAACGAAACATAATGCAAGCATTGTTTCAAGTCGGTTTTCTGTGAGGCCGTATCACTCCGGTCGGGCAGGCCCACTCGTGCCGTAGCATGGCTCTTCCAGACTCGCCACATTCTTCCCAAGTGTGTAACAATATAGCATCAAAACATTTAAGTTATTTCAAAAGTACTTTGAGTAGCCAAGAAATCGTTGACAATGTCTAATACCAAAACCATGCCACTGTAATATAATCATACTAAGACTTAATAGCCAGCATTGACCTTAAAAGAAAAGGGCATAAATCCATTGCTCACATAATTTCATGTAAATGAACCTGAAAAAAATGAAACTTCAGATTTCATTACATCGTTTCTTTATTTCTTCAGTTAATTAACATTTTTCTCTCTTGAACACGACCCAGTCTGGAAAAGAAAGTATTTTTTTTTAACAATAGCTGCGTATAACAGCCTTCTAATGTCGCTATTCTGTGAAAATGAATCTTACTAAGGTTTTCACTAAATATATTAATTATGCGAATGTTTTTAAATATAATTATACACTACTAGCAATTTTTGAAAATTACCAATAGATATTTTTCATATAAAATCATGTCTTTTATCCCCGTCAGGCAGAGGTGCACATTACGTCACTTAATGCCATTGTACAATGTAACAATCACTTTTCACTATTTATGTTATGAGTCTCATGTAATAGGGGGTGAGTCTTTTACCATATACCGGGCACAATTCCAGACTCCGTACTACTACTGGGATAAAAAAAGCCTAGTAACACGTTGCCGACAGAGGAATCGAAATGAGACAATCAGTAGAATTTTTAATGATATGATATTTGCATCTGGAGATAATTATGACAAATATAAAGTACATTTTCTTTTGATGATGCAGACACTGCATGGTGGAAAACTAATAAAGGTTAGTACTATAAGACCATATTATTACTAAAAATATCAAAAACAAAACAGAACAGAACTTAACCATAACACACGTACTACAAAAACCGAATGGTTGCTACACCCGACCGACTCAGATCTGATCTAATCTATGATCTCTCGTTTACAAGGGTCAAAATCCCGCGCAAAATAAGAAATTCCAACCCTTTTTTCACCTTCAGGCAAAGGGAACCAAAACCATAAAATCAAAGGTCCACCCCACAAATCCACTATCCATCCCTCAGCACAGAACAGCGGCCTTCAGGGGGAGCTTCAAATATGCTGCGACTCACTGTTGGAACAACCTGCCACCACCAATGCGAGGCCTGAAAACCAAAAAACACTTTTTACAACAGTTGAAGAATTTACTGTTAAACACACAAAAACGTACATAGATTACACACACTACATACATAACACATACAATTCACTACTCACCTCAAGGGTCGCGGCCTTCCAACATGGTGATGCACAGGTATCCAACAGGTTGTTGTTCGTAGCTGCAGCCTCCCCCATCATTTATGGTCAATATAGGTATATCTGTATTTTACAGGTCATGCCGGCTACTTGCTGTAAATGCAAAACACACAATTCATATCACACTCACACACGGTACACTACTGCTTTAATAGCAACAATTCACGTCACTACATTTACCAAGTTAAGTGAATCATGGTCTGCACTCACATCATTTCGTTGTTTTGTTGTTTTGCATTCTTGTTCGCTGGCGATTAGTGAAGCTGGCGGGACGCCATTACGTCACCCAAGGAGATGCTGAAAATCAGCGCTGCGACGCTAACCTCTTGAGGTTTAAGTCGCAGAAATTGCTGAGCATTATCCTGTTTTTGCGCACGCATACATGACGCACAATATTATGACCACAGAGCATGTAACAATGGCATGGGCAGTGTTTCCTTGTCTATGGTCCACAGATAATGTTAGATATTAAATATTCTATCATTTCAGTAAAATAATAAGTCTGTGGACCATGGACAAGATCTCACTTCATTTTAATTTTTTAGCTTTTTTTGTTTTCTTTTTATTTTTTAAATAATTATGTTATGTGTGTTTTGCGCAGAAATAAATGGTTTTTCTTTCTTCTTTTCTTTCTTTCTTTGTTCTATCGATTTTCTGTTCTGGCAACTTTCCAAGTATCCAGGTATTCATAATGTTACCATATTTTGCCTACAAATTATTTGAACTGGTCGCTTTAACTTAATCTGTACTTGGCTTTCTTCCAGAATAATCCTCATTTCAGTTATTTGTATTGAGGTTGCATAGCTTTGTACCTCTTTCTTTTCAAATGACTATTAAAAACAATTGGGTCTTTTTCTTCTGTACGTTATTTATCCTGCGTAGAATATGAATTTTTGAACGTAACTTTTTCTTTGTTTAAATTTTTCAAAATATAATTGTAGTGTTACTTTTTTTTTCTTTATAGCATAAGCCGGTAAACGAGCAGACGGATCACCTGACGGTAAGCAATCGGCGCCGCCCATGGACACCCAAAACACCAAGGCGTTACAAATGCGTTACCGGCCTTTTAGGAACTGGGAATTTGAGGATTGTGGAGCATACGGGGTTTCGGGTGCCTAGGGAGACTAGGGAGGGGGGTAATTGGGCCTCCGGTAACCTCATTCACACGACGAAACACAACGCAAGCGTTGTTTCACGTCAGTTTTCTGTGAGGCCGTGGTATCACTCCGGTCGAGCCGGCCCATTCGTGCCGACGCATAGCTCTTCCACACTTCTTAGTACATCAGTTACCGGCCAATTAAAGTCTTGCCAAATCGGTCTCGCCATTCCAGAGATTTGCCACTACAAACAAGCAGACAAACAGACAGACAAACATTGGATAAAATGTATTTTGGTTTGTATATAGTATGTTTATGCATATGTACATTGATATTAGGTACAAACAGACACCAATTTTATATATCTGTAGGTAAAGATTACATTTTTGATAAAACAATCTGGGTTATTGGTACTGGACATGCTAAGATGTAGGTAAGATATAGTAGTTAGTATACTTCTTTTACATTTGCAATGGAAAGTTTTACATGTAAAACTACTTTGACGCATTAGATTTAGTCTGTTATGAATTGTAATATGTGTGTCCAAATAATTAAATGTTAACAGATGTTAGTAAATGTTTAGTAATTGATCAAGAAAGGTGGTTTCCTCTGTCTACCACTTCGATTATTAAAAGACATATCTTTAACAAATACGGTGGTTACTACTAAATTACTTATTTATTTTTTACTTGCGACCCGCCCCGGTTTCGCACGGGTATAATATGCATGTATTATACATATAAACCTTCCTTAAGAATCACTCTATCCATAGAACCTAACGGGTTACCGAGGTTCCGGCTCGACGTGCAGGAGAAGGAACGGGGTGGTTTTTAGTAACTAAGAGTCTGACACTCCCTCCCGCCTCACCCAGGCGGGAGCAGTCATTCGATGATTTTCCCCCTTTAAAAAAAAAAGTCTGTAATGAATTGTAATATGTGTGTCCAAATAAATAAATGTTAACAGATGTTAGTAAATGTTTAGTAATTGATCAAGAAAGGTGGTTTCCTCTGTCTACCACTTCGATTATTAAAAGACATATCTTTAACAAATACGGTGGTTACTACTAAATTACTTATTTATTTTTTACTTGCGACCCGCCCCGGTTTCGCACGGGTATAATATGCATGTATTATACATATAAACCTTCCTTAAGAATCACTCTATCCATAGAACCTAACGGGTTACCGAGGTTCCGGCTCGACGTGCAGGAGAAGGAACGGGGTGGTTTTTAGTAACTAAGAGTCTGACACTCCCTCCCGCCTCACCCAGGCGGGAGCAGTCATTCGATGATTTTCCCCCTTTAAAAAAAAAAGTCTGTAATGAATTGTAATATGTGTGTCCAAATAAATAAATGTTAACAGATGTTAGTAAATGTTTAGTAATTGATCAAGAAAGGTAGTTTCCTCTGTCTACCACTTCGATTATTAAAAGACATATCTTTGACAAATACAGTGGTTACTACTAAATTATCTATTTATTTTTACTACCCGCCCTGGCTTCGCACGGGTGTTTATATGCATGTATTATACATATAAACCTTCCTTAAGAATCACTCTATCAATAGAACCTAACGGGTTACCGAGGCTCCGGCTCGACGTGCAGGAGAAGGAACGGGGTGGTTATTAGTCAGTAAGAGTCTGACACTAGAGGCGGGAGCAGGCATTCGTCGATTTACCCCCTTAAAAAAAAAACATTAAAAAATCGCATCAAAATCCGTTGCGTAGTTTTACAGATCTAAGCATACATAGGGACAGACAGACGGCGGATAGCGACTTTGTTTTATATTATGTAGTGATTTATTTACATTTCTGCATATAACATACGATGGCGGACTTAATGCCGGGTGGCATTCTCTAACAGTCACCCATGGGGTGATGCAGAGATGTGTAACAGTAGGTGTAATAGGTATTATGGTTTACTTTATGCGACACAGAGTAAATTCTATATAAATAAATAACTGTAAATACCTACATATTATATCCGTATATATAGTATAAATGATCAAATTAGACCTTTTGGATTTTGTCCTAAGGACATGTAAAGTGGTAAATATGGTGTCAATTTATTCATTAGCAGTAAAGGTCTAAAACCTCCTTCAGAGAGATCAATAGTATAAAAACAATAAAACTTTCTGGTAGTCAGCTAAAAAGCATTGTAAGGATTAATATCATAAGTAAAGTTCTGGCCACTCCTTTATGGAAAGGCTATATTTATATAAATTCATTCCATTAACCGAAACCATACAATAAAGCAATTATTTATCCGCATTTATGATACACAGAAACCCTTTTATCTTTGCACTTAATTAAAATATATCCGTTTATCCGTCTGTGGACGCTCAACTCCGTAGGGTCCAACTTTTCTATTAAAATTACAACATTGGTATCATTCTAAATGGTTCATAAATAAACGGTTACGACATTAGAGACCTTTCTCATTTTATATTTAAGGGGTATTTCTTGGTATCATCGCTTTGAATTCAGATATGAATGCTATTATAACTTTTTTTTGTGGTATTGTACCTTGTGACGGTGTGCAAATAAACGATTTTTCTTTCTTTCTTCTTCTTCTTTCTTTCTTTCTTTTATTCAGTGCGAGTGAGCCGCGACTGACTGACCGACCGAAATGATAACACGGCCTCACAGAAAACCGACGTGAAGCAACGATTGCGCAGTATTTCGTCGTGTGAGTGAAGTTACCGGAGACCCAATTACCCCACTCCCCTTCCCCAATCTCCCCAATCCCTGAATCCCCAATGATCCTCAAACTCCTAATTCCCAAAAGGCCGGTAACGCAGGTGTCCATGGGCTATGCCGATCGCCTACCATCAGGTGATCCATCTACTCGTTTACTGGCTTATGCCAAAAATAAAAAATAACGTTGCCCCCAACTAGGATTTTTCCCAATGCACATTAAAATAGAAAACAAGAATATTCATTCAGTAAATTTAGTCGCCTACGCACCCTGGAAGAAACTGCTTGTGGTAAATCAATCGAGTCATATATCCTTGCATCTATTAAAATAAAAAAAATAATACAATAAATAATTCTCTCTCTTTCTATCTTCGCACACAATACATACACATAAACTTGATGTAAATAATTACATACATTTAAAAATTACACAATAATTATAATGTTTCCCAACTTATTAATGTTTCTACCTCAGGCAATGTTCAAACAAGGTGATGTTTACCAAAAATGCAAAATTTATTATTGCTTACATTAACGTGTTCATAAATTAAACGATATTTATCAGTGGTTTCGATAAAACAATCATATTTTTGATAGCCATACGTTTTCAACATGTTTTTGTAATTAACATGAGCTGCTTTTAACATTAACATAATATTTGGGTAGTGCTTTTGAACTGTCTAATAATGTAGATAGTAGTGTATAATACTTGACATAGTTAAACGTAATTTGAAGTTCGATTTCAAGGATAATAATAACTATTGTCAATAATGTCAATGCGCCACGATATTCTAGTGTTGGTCACCGAGCCTCCTCTAGAAAAGAGATTAGACCGTAGGTTTATTAGAGCACCATTGCATAGTCTGTTTTAAATGTGTACACTATGGTACCTTATGGCTGGAATTAATAAATGAGTGTGGGAGAGCCATGCTTCGGCACGAGTGGCCCGGCTCGACCAGAGCAATTGTGACACTTGCGTTGTGTTTCGTCGTGTGAGTGAGGTTACCGGAGGCCCAATTATCCCCCTCCTCTATCTCCAAAATCCCCGCAATCCCAACAATTTTCAAATTGTAACACCTCCGGTGTTTCAGGTATCCATGGAGAACGTTGAAAGAAACTACATACTTGCAACTAATATCAAAAATCAACCTTAATCCCCTGGGATTTAGATCGATTTTCGATAATCTTGATTAATCTTAATCGTGATAATGTTAGAACCAAGTAATAAACGATGGTCATAGACGGCCATTATAATAAACGGGTCTGGTGAATTCTCTCACGTGCTAACAAGATGCTCTGGTATGGAGGAATGTATGTAAGTCTCGGTCAGGGGAACACGTTCATGTAGGTATGGCTTGCCAATATATGCGTAGCTATTGATCTAAGTCATTTGAAGATTTCCCCCCCTTAAAAAAGCTAGACTGCCTCGTTGGCAAGCGCGACTGTCGGGCAAGGGGTCTCGGGTTCGATTCCCGGGTCGGGCAAAGTATTACTGGGTTTTTATAAAAAAATCGCAGTAGTAGCACGGAGTCTGAAATTGTGCCCGGTATATGGCAATAGGCTCACCCCCTATTACATGGGACTCATAACATAAATTGTGAAAAGTGGGTGTTACATTGTACAGTGGCATAATGTGCACCTCTGCCTACCCCTTCGGGAATAAAAGGCGTGATGTTATTTTATGTAAAAAAAGCTAGCTTTTTGGCGAAAAAGTCTAGA